GCTATATCATATTCTTTTGGTGGAAGTGTCGATGAAGCAAACGTATATTTGCTATAGCAATCGACTACGTTACTTATATTCGTATTGTATTCGTATCATATTATATATTATATTATGTATTATATTATTATATTCGTATTATATTCGTACTGAGATGTTAATTCTTTTAACAATAGCCCTCTAATCTTTGGATCAATTTTGATTGCCATGTGATCGACGGAAGACGATAAATTCAAATTCATATTAAAATTTTCATCATTCAGTAGCTGCTATTCGAGAATTTGAGTTTCGTAGACTTCATTAATTCACTATATTTTTGGGTGTCCTGGTTTCTCTAGAGGCTCTCAGGAGAGGGCAGTAAAATTTCGTTGTGCTTTTAGACATCATCGGAAGATTCCACTTCTCGGATGCTGAAAGCTGTTAATGGTAGTGTTATCAAGGGCGCAGAAGCCATTTGGAAGCTTCCTCTGAGGATATAAGATAACAGTGAGATCTCTCAGCGCTTTTTTGCAATTTGTTCTACTGGCGAAGCTTACCAGTGCTTAGCAAGCAAGCGAAACCGGCAAGCCTATTTCGGACAGTGCGGTCACGTGAAGCAAGCAAGCTTTAATGCCTCATGCATATGCCGGCAAGCAAAGAGAAGTCCGAAGAAATATTCACATTTTACGGCATGCTTGAGATTAATCTGGCTTCCTTCACTCTATGTTGCCTGCCTCAAAAGGTACTAGACTGTCCGAGATAGTGACAAAATACATTTCAGGGTATCTTTCAGTGAAAGCAGCATAAATCTGCCCTCAAGCCATCTCTTGTGCTCACAGGTGTGCAGCACCATGCGACAACTCTCCTTTGTTCGCTGGCCTCCATGTCCCCTTTACAGGCCGCTCTATCGCCCTTGTATGTGCGTAGGTATGTATGTGTGTGTGTGTGTGTCTACCAGGGGTGTGAATTATTTGTACCCATGAGTAAGTTCTAGAAATGCATAAAAACACTCTGGGTCACAAGTGCACCTCTCGCGCTCCGTTACCATGTCACTGTTTGTTTGGAAGTTGACTCGATTTTCTGGTCGCAGACCTCGTTACAGGCTAGAAGAGTGAAGCAGACTGATGCACAAAAGTTGCCTGTTCCGTTGTGCGCCCATGTGTGTCTTGCTTGTATGCGCACACAAGCTCAAAAGTTTGCACAATTCGTGAAAGCTAATGAACTTTGATGATGACACCGCATGCTGCGTTGCATGGTGCTAGGTTGATGTAGAGATAGGACTATGCTTGTGTATTAGAGACTCCAAAAAGCACAAATGAATCAGAAGAATCAACCTGCTCTGTTACCATG